ATGTTGAGGGCACGTTCCTGGCCCTAACAGGCTAGGAGATGGGGGAAGCCGAGAGACATTAAACCACCGCCAGGCTCATTGAAAGCAGCAACCACAATGGGAAGGGAGAACCACTGAAGAACGCCCTTAGCCTGACAGAAGTGTGTGAGAATGAATGAGAGTGATTGTGGGTGGCCAGATAGTCAGCAGTATTCCCAGAACCAGCGTGAGCCACAGCCATGGCTGGGAGAAGAAAAGGGCCCACTGAGCAGCTGCTTTTGGCCCCCAGTGGGAGAAGTGGCTGGAGGTGGGGGCTCATTTTTCCCCCAATTTCATTTCTAGATGAGGCACATCAGGGGGCAATTTGGGGATGCGCACACTGCTACCAACTGTGCTGCATGTGGAGAAAGGACGTCAGCCTTCAGGGTTGAAAATGACGAGCACGTAAGTCTCTATTCAATGTTTTTTTAAAAAGCTAAAACATTATCTAATATAAACCTTAGAAACAGAGGGAAAGTTCTAATCAGTGGGTAGGTTGGGGGGGGGGGGGTAGGGTGACCAGACAGCAAGTGTGAAACATCGGGACAGGAGGTGGGGGGTAATAGGAGCTTATATAAGACAAAGCCCCAAATATTGGGACTCTCCCCATAAAATTGGGACATCAGGTCACCCTACGGGGGGAAGAGGGTGGGGGAGGGGGGTGTCTGAGTGTAGTGAACATTCGTATTAATCACCAGGCCTCAGCATGAGAGAACCTTTCTATTCAATTCCACCTTCTAACAAATGGGTGATTTTTTTGCTCCCACCATTAAGGAGAAACAGCAATCTTGTCTCTCAGGAGATTCAATTCTTAAAACCATGTGACAAGGAGCTAGGCAAAGGCGAGCGTGCTGAAGTTCCCCTCCCATCTCAGCATATAACACAGCATTTCGCAGGGCTTAATGCTTCAGGGAGCCGCTGTTGCAATGTGTCACAAGAACACGCAGCCACCCGTTGCTTTTCTTTTATTTATTTTTTTATTGAAAGCTTCATCAAAGAAAACAGAAGTTTAAATCTAACATCCACTGATCTACAGAAAGCCCCACGAGTGGGAAAATGGCAGCTATTAGGATTGTGGTACAAATGGAAAATAAAAATTAAAAAAAGAAAGAAAATCATAGCAGTACAGCTCGTTCAGTGACAGTCTGAGATATCAGCACTATGATGCCCTTATAAATAAGATTCAGAATTTAATGGCTCACAGAGGTCCTTTGGTCTACAATCCGGATACACCAAGGTCTGATTTAAAGAACCTCTGTTTCATTTACGTGAAACATGTTTTCATGATAGGAATTTGTCTATCCTTACAGCCACTTTGATTTTTCTTAAATGGAAGCTTTTATTTATTGATTTTTAAATGGGGGAAAAAATTAAACGTTTCTGTATGAATTCTGGATGCTTCCTGGTTTTACAGGTTTTTCCTTAAAAACGGGGAGAAAGAGAGAGGTGGATTTACTTGTTTCCTGGGCAGCATCTTTAGTAATACTTAGTTACACTGAACATCATGTTCTCCTCTCTAAGCTTCATTTTTGGAGTTTTTCAAAATATGTGACTGTAAAATCCACCAGACATAAATATGTCACCCGAGAGACAGAAATCAACATTCAGAAAATATAATTAATGCTAAGCAGATTTTTTTAAACAAGGGGCCCAGCTCTTAGGAGGTGCTGAACACATCACAGGATTTGGCCCTACAAGGAAAATTGGGTTTGTGGACCTGTCAATAGCTAACATTTTGCATTTTCTTACAAATTGTTATTAAAATGAAAGGAACTCAAATATCATGGGCATGGAATAAGAACAAGAACAACTGATTTAAACACAAGAGTTTTTCTCATCATTGGAAGTAAAAGCAATTTTTTTTTGTACAGCTTTTGTCATCTTTTTCTGTTTAACAAAGAAGACATTCATAACGGGGAGATTAATGGTCTCTTCTGCATTCTCTGAGGCATGACGAAGAGTCTCACAGGTGCGTACAGCATTCCAGTCTATTTGGATGATATGACCGAAGTGGAAGGCGGGTGCTTCTTCTGAGAGAAAAATAACTCCCTCCCTCACTGACTCACACTCCAGGTTTGCTGCTTGAGGATTCCGGAAATCCACTTTGTTGAGGAATATAAAAAGTCTGCTGCTGATTCAACCCTTCTTCTGTTAATGTTTGTGCATGATTGTGTGTTTGCATGTATCAGAAATGAAAGGAATCACCACTACTGGAGAGAAAAGAAAAGCCATCAAACAGAAAAGATTGGAATAGTCAGCGTGTTTCTGTTTTCTTTTGAATTTCCATCACACCGTTAGTATTTCCTCAGTTCAGATGGGCTTCCTAGAAGATCTCTAAAATCCTTTGCCCCGGGGCACTTCTTTTGCATCAAGACCAATTTCATGTTAAATAAAGTTCTGAAAAGAAATCTTAACTGTGTGGGGGGGTCAAACATAACTATCTTCCACTACCACATTTGGTCTCATCACTAAAAGTGGATTGATTCATTACTTTAAGCCCATTATCACTCTTTAGCATGACTCTTACCATAGGTACAGTTCAGTGAGTCTCCTTAAACCTGTTTCACTCATGTCAACCTCAGCATTAAAATGAAGAGGCTGACTGATAAGCACCATCAAACTTAAAATTATGAACCAAGGCAGCTTGTTACACATTTAAGTATTAATCTCATCCTTCAGTACCATAGACAACATAATATAGATCAAAATACTATGACATATTAAAAATAAACTTTATTACAATGCAGGCTTCCTCAAATTTGCTGAATTTTGGTACACACACATACATAAATAATACCCTTCATTTGATTTTTACTCATGTAAAAATCCATTTTAATGCTTAATCCCATTGCAGAATCCCTCACTTTCCTGATCACCATTTGTCATCTTCCACAGTTGTGCATGCAGCCACAGCAGAAGATAATACAACATGATGAAATTGCTCTAAAATAAGTCTAGTTCTGCATTACATTGGATGTCTCAACTATCATGTAAAGACAGTCTAAACCCCTTGGCAAACAGAACTATACAAGTATTCATCCGCTAGGGACATTTCAAGAGTTCATTTCAGCAGAAGGGAAGACGAGGGCAACCAAAATTCTAGGCCTGACTGTCACAGGTGACCAGTGCTAACAAAATCAGCAATAGAGCCAGATAGGAAGAGGGCTCCCTAAGCATTTTAGTTCACTTGGGACAATAAGACTTTTCAGTGCCCTGAATATGTCACTAGCAGCTCCAAATACAATATATTATACTGTATTTAGTTCCATCATACCAATTATCTTTCAATCGTCAGTGACAACTATGTATTCCGAATTTCCCAGCATATTTCTGACACCTCTCATTTTCATTTATTTGAAAAGGAAAAAAAAGTCTAAATTTGACTATTTACAAGAGTTCGGATGTGATGGAAAGTACATATGCAGCTCAGCTTATGGATTTTATTTTATTTCCAGACACTTGGGTTAGGCACCATTGCCTTAGACTTCTGGAGTAGTTTCTGCAACCTTTCAGGAACTCTCCTGATATTTAAGGCTAAATTGGCATGACATAGATACTGAATGTACAAATTCAGCACTTAAAAAAAAAAAAGCCACTAAGAACCTTGTCAGCTAGAACATAAAGAAAATCAGCTTCAGTTTTTTGAAGCAATTAGGTATCTCTGTTATGATGATACCTAAAGGGCAGATAGGTGTGCTGCATTCAGTAGATTTCATCTGTATTCTTTTACTTCACCTTTGATTCTTACAAATAAGGATTCCCATCTAAGTATTTTCTGTATTTTGAATATGTTATTTCTTACCTGCTGATATATAACTGTTTACAACTCATGAGCTACCAATTAATCAATACTGGGATCAATAAAATAAGATTATTAATTGGATTTATAGGACCCTTTGTCTTTCTTTTTTTTTTTCTTCTTCTTCTTCTTCCCCTTTTTTGGTTTTTAAACAATATTAAACGTTGTAGCATGGCAAAAAGTTAAACAATTCTAACACGGAATGTACTTATAACAGTTTAAAGTGACAGGCATCCTGATACCTCTTTGCCTGACCGGCTTAATAAAAAAACACTGAGATCGTTTTACTTTATTTGCTCAAAATAATAATAAAAAATGTTTCTGAATGTATAAATAAAGCAGCAGAGTTCTGAATAGAAACAGGAAGGTACCTCAGCATATTCATCAGCCACATGGTAGCTACCTTGTAGCCTCATTGTTGATAGTAAATGAGACCTTTTTGTGTGTCACATTAGAATTTGTACAGAAACAGAACAACATGTATTTATTTCATATTCAACTCAATGGTGCCTGGGGATCTCTATTTATACAAACAGTTCACACACAGAGTGCAAAAAGGAAGAAAATAAGGCTAGCTTGATTTTTCCCATACCTTTTCCAAGGACAAAACTCGACTGTCATTCACAAAAAGAAAACAGCAATGAGGAAGCACGTGGAACAGAAAGGAAAAAGCTAGAGGTCTTTCTGTAAGATGGAAACACTACTTTCTTTCCCCCCACACGTTAGTGTGGGCCTGATTTTAAAAAGTCCTGAATAACCACAACTCCAGGTGGAGTCAACAGGAGCTGGGAGTACTTTAGCCCTTCTGAAAACCAGGCTCTGTAGCTATGGCAATTAACCAGACAAGATCCCATCCCTCTCTTTCACATGTTGCATATTTAGCAGCCATTTGCTTGGGTAACCCACCCCTTCCCACACCCCACTACATTATAAAATAAGGTATTGATTTAGTAATTTTAAAAAAATACGTGATTTAAAAAAAATCAGTTAAACCTCAGATATTGTTTAGTTAGGGTGGCTAAATCAGGTTGATCCAATATAAATATGCTTTAAATTTTTTTTAATGGATACCCTGTTTCTAATGTACCACAGTGAATGTGGTGAAGTGTCCCCTTTTTCTTTGATGGACGAAAGTTTTCAGTTGTTTGATTTAGATTATATATATATATATATATATATATATGCTGCTTTTCTTTGATCTTTCTGCCTTAAGAAAAAAAACCATGCGTCTTGTTCTGACTTAGTTCTCCCCTTGTTTGTTTGGAAAAAGCAAGGATTTTAATCAGGATTTCTCTGTGCAATAGTTGTCATTCTTAAAATAGATTTCAACGGACTCAATTTATTTACCATTGTCTTTTGACTAATCGTACCAATCAGTGATTGTCAGCCAATGTATTAAGACAACAGAAAACATAGGTGAGAAAAGTAATTTTTAACTTCCTGCCTGCATGAGCATGCTAACGTGAGTAATTTTTAACTTTCTGCTTGCATGGGAGAGCTAAAATGAGAACAGAGATTAAGTTTGCTTTCTCTGGCATCTAATAGGTGACTCAAATGCATCACTGAAAAACAAATACAGAATCAAGGTGACTATACATGTTGCAAGATGACAAAGACTGAGGTGAGGAAATGAACCTGTAGGATGTTGGAATTCAGAAGGAAGACTGTAGTTTCCGTAGAAATACAAAAGACCAGGCAATGTAACAGAAAACTTGTAAAAATTAAAGCCCATCTGGATAGTCGGTAACTCAGATCTCCTCATACTCTGAAATGATGCAAAACACAGGAGGTACAAGCTTCTAGTACCAACTGCTCTGAAATGATCATTATAAACATATGCAGTAAGTAAAAAACCAGTGGAAGATAGTTTAAACAAACAAGAAAGTAAGAACTGGTCCGGCCATGTAGGTCAAATAAAGATAAAAAAAGAAAAAACCTCTATCTCCTGGACTGCGTTAGGGTGTCACTTCATCTTTGGTATAAAATAGGCCATCCATAGGCTGCATTTGATCACAACTAGGAAAGACTACAGAAATTGTCAACAATTTCTTCTATCTATTGCTTTTTTGCACTTTTTTTTGACCATAAGCTCCTATCTACTTAAGTTTTTTTAAATGCTCTTAAGCTAGGTTTTTGCAATGTGACAAGCAAAGCAGACTAAAAACTTCTTAAAGCTCATAAAAAAGACTGCAGATAAAAAGCACTAATGCTTTTGCTAGCGATCACGCTTTGTAAATTAAAAAAAATCTGCATTCTGCAAGAAAAAAACCCTGCATTCTTTATAATGCAGTTATTTTTTTCTCAATTCAATAACTTTACTGTAAAATGCTTTAGCCTTCTAGAATTTTTTTCTGTCAACACTTAAGACAAAGTTCATAAAAGTTCCAGCATTTTTCCAATCCTTACAGTTGCCACAGTTCCTTTATCAACAAGTTTTCTTCAAAAGAAGAAAAGCATTTTCTTTTAAACTGTACAGTTTTTTGTTGTTCACCCCAAAATCTCAGTCTGTTAAACTTCTGCACCAGCTGAAACCAGTGTGAGCAAGTTTAAATTCTTTTTCGGTTTTTCTAATAAGACATTGACAGCTTGCCTTGAGAGCCTCTGACGTCCTTAAAATTAAGGCAATTAAGATTCAAGATAAACCTTACCTAAACATTTCTAAAAAAAACCCCAAAACACAAAAACACACTAGATTTAAAACAAGAAGGAAAAAATTTAGAGAAAAAAAAGTAGCTTAATTTTTGAGGAAGACAATTAGTTTTCTTGTCAACTTGCTCCCTCTTGACATCCTCAGTTTTGATGTTTAAAAAAAAAAAATCTAGTTACACCTACAGGTAAATTCTGAATTCAAATGTTCGTCCTGATGAAATGTCAACCCAGTGTTTTTCCTCTGGGTCTTTTCTTTAATTAAAAAAAATATAGCAAAAATAAAACTGTCAGACTACATGACGGAACCATTTGCACAGCACATAAAAACACTGTTGTGTTTTCGTTGGGAAAGTAGAAAATTAAAAAAAAAAAAAAGCATTCATTTGACGCCTGTGCAAACTGGAAGCCAACTTCTTGTTCAATGAAGTTTCTCCATTCAAGGCAAAGATTTCAGACCGACATTCTTCAGTCCTGTTTATTGTCTGTAAAAACAATTGTATTAAAGTGGTCATTAAGTCAAAATAACTTTGAAATAGGCTCCTGTCCTTTTTTCCACCCAATTCCCTTTAAAAGGTATCCAAGCAAAACTAACTTTGCAGCTGTTTAAATATGATACAGCCACTAAGCTGAAAATAGTGAGGCCAAAGCAGAGAAATCCTACTTTAGGGGCATTCCTACTCAGTGCAGAAGGATTTTTACTCTTATTAATGCTATGGTTTATGCATAGTCCAGCACATCGAAATGAGACTATATGTATTTACATAACTTTAAAGCTTTAATGTTATGTAAATACTTCACGGGTAATAATGTATGAGAGACAACTCTCTTTGTATTATTAAGTGGCACTATTTATTTTGGACACTAGTATTAAAATGAAGGCTAAACTTAAAATAAAAGGATAAATTCAACTTGCAAATAAGAAAACGTTTTCTGATTGTAAGAATAACTGGACAGTGGAACAGTTTGCCTAATGAGCCAGTTATGGCCGATTCAGTAGAAACATTCATGCTGATAATAAATAAAAGTATATAGAAACTGTAGAAAGTACATGTACAGTCTTTCCAATTTAACACAGGGGACATGGTCTAGATGACCAATATTACTGCATCATTAAAGCAAAACAACTCAGGAATGTTTTTGAAGGGAGGTATACCTAAAATGGAAGCAGCATCACAAAAATGTAATCTTGCCACCATAGTATAATATTTCTGTGGAGGTGGAGCCACTGTTGACAAATGTTGTCTATTACTGTGTCATCTATAATGCTATAGTTAAGGGATGGTTATTGCTGCTCTTGTAAGCCTCCACGTTTAGGGGTTTACAGCTCTCTTCTGTAAAACTCCTCTCCAGGTGGAAACTCGACATAAGAAAAGCCAATAGTTTTCCTTTTGCCCAATTTTAAAATATTCAGTTAGGATTGCTTTTTTTTTTTGGTTGTTTTACTCAGTATATATTTTTTAAAAGAAAAGAACCGTAATGAATCAGAGTGCTTTCTCATATAGCTCCCTTTCTGGGACTATGTCATTATATGAAATAATTACAGTCAGTATTTTCCAAAGAACAGACATTTTCAGATAGTGATGGTGGAATGTAAGATTTGTCTGTTTCCTTACGGATTTTCCGAAGCATTGACCTATTCAGATATTTGTTAGCATTCTGTACCTGTATACTTAGGGGGCAACTGGAGGCAACAACTCTTAGTAGGGTCCTTGCTCCTTGTCAGGAGGATGGAAACTGTGAGTGGATCTGAGAAATCTCCTACTATGCTTCAGAGAAGGCTCCACAAACATCACCCTTAACCAAAGACTTAGTGGTTCCTGAGAGGTAGCCACCAAAATCACTGATTTGTACATCCTATCTCCTACCCACCCGAGGAGTTCCTTACCTGTGCCAATGAGCCCCACATTTTACAAGCTGACCAACATTTATGCACTTAGGCCCAAAGTTTTTGCCACTGAGTCTTCAGCATTCTCAGCTAACTCATAATTTGTGTTCGGAGTTAGCCCTGGTGTAAGGGGGAACCCATTGCATAGGAGTGTTATATTTGTCTTTGTATGCCTGTTTGCATTGTGGTTGTTTGGCCATCCTTTTTCTTTTAGAATTTCTTGTGTTCAGTTTTAATTCCCCTTTTCAGCTGTTCAGGTTTTTCTTCCCCTATATACAGCCATTCAGGTTGCACTGCCCACCTTCTGTGATTTTACTGCCTATCCGAGGGTGTTATCTGGACTGTCGGCATTGCTGTCATTAGTGTAAGCGAGTTATTGTGCGTTTCCCTGGAAAGTTTCTTGTGGGACCTAAAATCTGTACTCAAAAAAGACTGTTTCTCCCAGGTAGAAGCATCATGCATTCTTTAATCTGGTTCTGGATTTATCTTCCCAGAAAACCCAAAAATCTTTCTCTCCTACTTAAAGCCTGAGAGCTCCTGTCCAGCAAACAGACCTTTGCCCAGAGGCAAGAGGGTGGAGTTCCTGAGACAAAAGAGTTCGCTCTAACTTCACTTTCAAGATTTCACATTTGTATATGTTAATTTATACGAAGAGTTGCAAGGGACAGAGATTCCTTTGGTCTAAAATGACTGAGGTACCTTCCTAATGAAGTGGAGTATTCTGCTCAGAGCCGAAGGATAGAGAGCCAAATTCACCCACGGTATAATTTTCTCACATTACTGGATTTATGCTGGGGGATATTTGACTAGTGTATCAGCCTTAAATTTGAATGCACTAAGATGAAATCACTATTAAAAACCAGTCTAACAGGGTAAATGAAAGAATATCTTTCCTGGCCAAGAAAGAATTTTTTTTTCACCAGTTGTCTAGTTTACACTTACCTACAAGGCCAATACAAAATCTTTATCACACCCAGTTCAATTTCAAGACATTCTTATCCATTTGTTGGTTGTTATTTTCCGGTTAGTTCACAGAAAGATAAATATAATTAAAGAAGTGATTATAACATCCCTCTCATGAGCTTCTAGAAAATTCTTTTATAAGCTCTGCATGTTCCCTTGGCTATAAATGATTAGAATCAGCATCTAATCAGGTTAATTACTTCCTCTCTGCCAGAATAGAAATTATTGTCTTATACTGGACATCGTTTTTATTATTGTTAAATGTGCTTTTAAATTGAAAAAAATATATTTATTCAATATGATCTTTTATAAGTGGTGCTTTTGAAAAATATTTTAACTTTTTTTTAACTAGAAATTGTATCGATCACCTCCCAAGTCTTGGCATTTGTAACCACAATTTGCGGACACAGAAACAGCTGGCATGTTTCAGCAAAAAACCAGAAAAACAAAACAAAAAGGAACATCCAGATAGCCTGTAGTGTACCTACCTACGTGATTGAAAAAGAAATTCCCCTAAATATAAATACCAATGACATGAGAACAGCATCTGCTATAGCAGTCATGCAATAGCTGAGTATGTGAGATGAGGGATATTCTCAGAGAAGATCGGAATTTTACAGAGGAAAAATCCAGCAATCATTTAAAAAAAGAGCTATCATCTTTGCAATATAGGCACAAGTCCAGCAGAAACTGCACCCAACTACATGTTGGGGGCTTCTGAACTTAAGTCTTTTTTGCTTTTAGGCTTAAGGGAGAGGGAATTGGAAAATGAGAATGGTTAGTTCAAAATCCCTTCAGAACACAATGATCAGACCAGGCAACCAGCATGGAGTCGTCATGTATATTTTTCTCTTGAGCCATTATATTCTCTAAGTAGGCTGCCATTATTTATTTTTATAGGTATTAAAGAAAATGATGGAAGAACAGGTATACAAACATACTGTGCCTCTGAGTACATCAGACATATAGAGAAGAGGTGTGTGATTGGCTCCATCTGTAAAATACATACTGGGCCAAATTCTGCAGCAATAAACAATACTGATGATGTAAGCTACCCATTTGGTACATGTACGTTGGCCAAACGGTGGGTGTACCTTGCACCAGTTTGGCATTCAGTTGGTGTGAAAAACAAGTGCAACTTAATGCTGAGGGGTCAAAAAGGCAGGTGAAGCAACCAACCAGATGGATAGATTTCTATTCTGTTTCGTATGTTTTACTGTGCCTATCGCCATGGTATCTGAGTACCTTCCCATGATGCTTTAAACAGGGTCCAGCATACGTCACGTGAGGATCCCTCTTCATTTCATTCTCCTGGTCGAAAGCTGTGTGTGAATGTTTTTTTGTGTGATGTGCTATGTACCTTCATTGGAAGGCCAAGGCAAAAGAGAGTACTTTGCACTTGGGACAGGGGTTTGGTGTGGTTCATAATAATTTATGCTCTGTCTTCTGCACAAATAACCTCTCCCTTCTGAGTAACAATTCCACTGTGGCACCGGAGCAGAAGAGGTGAGGGCTGTTTTGTTTCTAGAACATGGGGAGAACTTGGCTCAACCATTAAGTGCGTTGAAAATAAGGTTGAACTTTGAACTTATGGTCTTATTCTATGGGAGCAAATGCAGTGAGCAGAGGTCAGGGGTAAGATAAAACAGCCCCCCTAACTTTTCTTGAGGTTGCCTTTTCTGCAGCACCCCCTTCTTCTCTCTCAATGTGCAAGTGACACTAGTTTTGCACACCTGCTGAATGCCATTTACACTACTTTGTCAGTTACATTCACATCCTGAAAAACTAACCACCAGATGTGGAACTTACTGCTCCATTGACATCACTGCAGAATCTGACTAAACGTTGTAGCCTCTTAACACCTGTTTGGGATTTTGCCCAGTGTGCTGATTGCTGAGCCAATGTGTGGTGTAAAACCAGAGCAACTCCACTGAATTCAATAGAGCTACTCTGAATTTATACTATCACAATTGAGAGCAGAACGTAGATCTCTGTATTCCAAACACAATATATATATGGCCCTAACCGTGACTAATCACAGTCTTACTTACTTAGACTGTTGGTAAGAATATGCAGGTGCATGTTCACTGGATGTTTCCACTGTCATCTGTTGCTGTTGACCACTGGCTTCCTGTGATGAAGATGCTACTGTCTGCGGAGAAGTATCAGCAACGACACCCTATGGAAGCAAATAGGGACACAAAGGTCTTACTGATATTAATCACATGAAGGTGTTCAGCACCATCTCACCACTTCTTTATTTCTGTGTATCAGTACCATTGGTTTGCATTGTTGAGAGTGTCTGGGATAGCAGAAACCACATGCTGACATGAAACAAATGCTATCAATTTACAAGGTGATCTGGCCTGGCAATGAGAAACAGCCTCAATTCACAGAGTACCTGGAGCACTGTGCTCTAACATGCAGTGGTGAAAAATATCTACACATTATGGGGGAAATCCCAGCCCTGCTGAAGTCACAACGTTTCCATTGACTTCAGTGGAACCAAGATTTCACCCTGTATATGTTATTTTTATTACATATGCATGGTTGATCTGTTTTTTTTTTACCTCACTTACACTGACTTTACCTTGGTCTAACACTGACTTCTGATTTACACTGGTGTGAGAGCAGAACCAAGTCCCACTGGATTTTGCAATATATTGTGCTGTAACACACATGGTGCAGACACTGTAGCATGCTTTGAACACTAGTGTATTTGCATTGATTTAGTGTTTTTATTCAGAATGTTTTCTCTTTTAAAATAAATTTAAGACAAACAAAAGATTTTACCTAATAGAACGTTGCACTAATGAGGCTTTGAGGCATATATGTATGTATGCATTCGACATTATATGCATTTGCCTTGAAAACCTGCAATTACAATTATTTCATTGATAATTTTGTTTCTCCTATTTTGGCATTTTTAAATTTTTTACATTTCTATTGAAATTAGCCATATTCTCTTTACTTCTGTGCTTATCTGCATCAACCACACCAATGATACCAGCAGCGCACTTCTGGGAATAGAATGTAGTAGTAAATTGCACTCTGTAGAGCCAGAAGAGGGAGCACAAAGCACTCAATTTTGCTGTTATCTGAGTCCTATATAAACAATGGGTGGTGCATTTTAAATCTCTGTGACAATTTCTTTTTCAAAGGTTCTTAGAGTCCACTGCCTGCCATGCTGACCAATACTGGCTCATTGTTTCCCTGTAATCACCTGTCTATCTGCATCCATCTGTTGTCTCTTGCCTTAGATTTAAATTGTAAACTCTTTGGGGCAGGGAACAGCTTTTTGTTCTGTTTGTACAGCGCCTAGCACAATGCGGCGCTCATGCATGACTAGGTGCTATGGTAATATACTAAAACAATAATTGCCAGATTATAGCAAATGTTACGGTAGGTCTTCTACTTAGTTCCTTTAATAATTAATGAAGGCTATTTAAAGTAGTCATTATGATATATTTAAAACCTGATTTAGGGTGAAACTGATGCGATGAAGATTTAAATAAGACCAGTTGAATACGACCAAAAAAAAAACAAAAAAACCCCAACAACAACGCCAGTAGGGGCCTTTCCTACCAGGTGGTAGATCATTTGGGATTCAGAGAATTTGCAGCCATGGAGACTGGGAAAACTATGGTGGATCCACTTGACTGCGGGCGGAGAAGTGCCAAAACAACAGCTCGAAGAGCATCCTCAACTGGCCAACCCATGGAGCAGTAATAGCCTCAACTCCAGAGGAGAGACAGCTGAAGACTAAAGTATTGAGACAATAGTGCCCCTCACATTATCACAAAGTAGGGGAGAAGAGGTTAAAATGGAGAGAAGAATATGAATTTAAGAGTAACAGCATCTTTATTTCCCAAGCCTCCCTCTCGTTGTGTCAGATGCCCTTATGAAGATGCACAGCATTGGAGGTTGGGCTGAAGTGCTCCAGGCAGCTTGTGCTCTACAGGGTTGAGTAAATACTTACTCATTAGAATGTCATCAGCATGACTCAGCCCCAAGGAGGGAGAGAGCGAATCCTTCCTCAAGGATGAAAAAGCACTCAGTCAGTGCAGCATCCTCCACGTCTGTATGTACAAGAGGAAGGTTTCCATTGCTCAATCACTTTTTCTGGTTGCTGCATGTTTTCAGCAGTCACCTACACTCACTAAGGACTGAATCAAACCCTCTTGCCATCGTCTCTTCTGGAATCTCTTTGGGTTCGTGGTTTGCTGGTTGGTTTTGTTTTCCTGCATTTTCCCATCTCCCTCCCAAATACATGAAACATCAAGAATGGTTTATTCCATTTCCTATGCACAGCAAAACAAATGCAAAAACAAGAGCACTTGCAGATCTTCCACAAAAAAAAAAGAAAAAAAAAAAGAAAAGAAAGTTGAAGTGCAATCCCAAATCTAAGAGCAGCATAAGGTCTGGTTTGGTAAAGCAACATTTGACCCTTCTTGATATACAACAGGTTCAATGACGAATAGGTTTGTGATTTGTCAACCCTTCACCCTACTTGCATGAATGGAGGTAAACTTACTTCAATGGGGACAGCTGTTGCAGGCACAGGAGTGTACTGGGGAATGTAGGTCCCTTGCATAGGTGCAGCAGCAGTCATATACTAGAATAAGTCAAAGGCACATTTATATTAGAAATAGAAAACCACAATGCATTATATAGATTTGGTTATATAGATTTGGTTACAGTACAGAATGTATTGGTTTTGTATGCACTGTACACCACACCATTATTTTTTGCTAATAATTTTACTTAATGGTAGGAATTGGCCATTAAAATCATACATCCTGACCTGCTTAGTGATGGCACATATGATTGAAAGCAACACCAAGAGATCATAGTATACAGTGCTGATGGGTTTAGATTTTATTATTTTGTCATATGCTTTATAACTGGAGAGAGTTCTGTATCTACATATGAAGAAAATACCAGGGAGACACAATAACATCACGCACACAGTGATTATGTAGAAAAGTCTAAGGAAGCTCTTGGAATCCACATTTTTAAATGATACCTACAAAAATAACAAACTTAGGGCTGAAATTAGCGTACTTCCTCCACACTACTCTAACCCTGAACATGGGAACAATCACGTCTGTGGAGATATGAAGATCAGGAAAGAACAGATATCTGAGAGTTTCTGCTTTTTGTACTTAGGGGCACTAACTGAATTTTCTTCTACATATGAATTCTTTTTAATATTCGGGAAGCCTTTTTAAATATCACGAAACTTTGCCAAATTATTATTCTGTCAACATATAGTACTAGCTTCTTCTAAGATATTCTCTCTCCCAAGCACTACAGGAAACCAGTCCTTAATTATGAGTGGATGCGAATTTCACCATTGGTACAGCATTATTCTCTTCATGCACAATATTGCTTAAGCAGTTCTTGGCTGAATGCAACAGATTGTTCAAATGCTTAAATGTCGTATGAGTATTGAGTTGTCAGATCTAGACATTGTTCTTACCAGTCCTATCTGTGTACTTTGACAAAAATCACAGAGTATGCCCAATCTCACAATTGGCTGGAGGGCATCTCCAACATGTTGTCTTCAAAGATGCACTGGAGATCTGAACCTACCCAGGATGTATTTGATTAATTTTAAAATGAGTTAAATATCGCTTGAGTTTTCTGGCTGAGTTAGGAGGTGCTTGCAGGATTTTTTCCACTGATTATTGTGAAATACACGTTTCAAACGCTTTCTCAGCACACCTTTAAATTAACTGTGTTGTTTGAAATGTCCACAGCAAAACTGCATTATGAGAATGCAAAGAGGTGTGTAACAGATGCACTGCCCAAGAAATGTTTGGGGTGCAGAAATGGCATAGACAAGAATACTGAGGGCAAAATTCCACAGTCCTTGCTTAGGTAAAAGTCCCACTGACTTCAGTGGAAGTTTTGCCTATATAAAAACAGTGAGTAAGGAGTGCAGGATTTAGGCTCACATTAGTGGCACCACATTATGTATTTGTAAGTAATTATAATGATGTTGTTGAAATTCACTGCATCTTCCTTGAATATGGCCAAAGAGACAGGAGTGTCACCCATCCATATTACGTCTGCCTCCTGCCACAACTTCCTGATGATATTTTTTTGTTTCTCTTCAAAAAGATAATTGTTACAGATTGAGGAGTTCAGTGTTTTCTTGGTCAGTGTCGATCAACCAATGACATTTAAGCCAAATACCCCTATTGTACTGCAGCATATAGTAGGGCTATTCTCTGGCCATGAACATTAGTCATGGATGAGAATATTATAAGAGTGAGAGTCTGTTCAGCTTCTATTTCATTCAGTCTGCTTTGTAACGCTGCTGTCATCTGCTGCCATCCTATATGCTAGACAATATTCTTCCAAATTAATTGTGAGCTTTTACTTGAAGTGCTCACTCTCATAGTTCCACAAAGCCTGTTTTAAATTCTCATTGAAGTTTGTTTCTCTGAAGCAAATTATTTTTAAATTAAAAACATCTATATAAAGAAGAGAAAAAAAGCAGTTCTAGGCAATGTTGTTTTCTTTTAAGTTCTTCCTGGAACCCAGTGGAAAATCAGCATATGTGCTCTGAATCACTAGATGTGATTATCTCTATCGTCATCTTAGTTTGCACACAAATAAACACATAACTAAATAAAGTCTTATGAGACCTCACAAAATTATTAAACCACTTTTAAAATCAGGCCACTTTATTTGTTTCAATATCCTTCAGCGGTGAGTTCCACAGGACAAGTATAGGAGGCATGCATGAAATATTTACTTTTACTAGTTCTAAATGTACTGCCCTTTGGAATACAAGAGAATCAGGAGACTATTCCCAGTTCTGCCACTGACTCATAGAGTGATCTTAGGCAAGCTCCTTTGTCTCTCCATGTATCATTTTCTCCTTCTGTAAAACCTACTTTTCTTTTTTAAGTGCTTTGAATTCAATGGATAAAAGGGAAATTCACTGATGGTTTAACTCCTCTGACAGAAATGGAACTATACTGGCAGAAAATTTGGCCCCGTAAGTGTTAAGTGCCAATCCTGCAAACAGATGCACCAATATGTATCTTAGGGCGTGTCTACACGGTGGAGGTAATGTGCTCTCCGGGGGTGCAGTTTCTAAAGTGCACTAACGTGTTGCTCATTAATTGGCCCATGAAGATCCTGCTGGTTCATGCTAATGGTTCCCTAATGTGCTTTAACATAGTACTGTTTTAAATGGTACTACATTAAAGCACAGTAGGGGACATTTAGTGCGCACCAGCAAGGTCTACATGGACCAAATAATTGCAATACATTAGTGCACTTTAGACATCACAGCCCCATAGTGCACATTGCTGCTCCGTGCACTCTGACTCTTAGATTGCTGCTCATCTATTAGCCCCTCACCACACACATTCACCAGAACCATCAGCTATCTCTTAGTTACTTACATGGCACCCGTTACCAGAGTATCTGAGCACCTCATAATCTTTAATGTGTATGTCCTCACAATACCCCTGTGAGGTGGGGAAGTGTCATTAACCCCATTTTACAGATGGGGAACAGACATACACTAAGTTTGTGCCAGAGAACAGAAATAAAGTCTCCCGAGACCCAGGTTAGTACCAGAACCACAGGACCATACTTTCTCTCATCAAGGATCCCATGTGGACCCCTTAATGCCACACGCAGTTCAACTGCTTTCCACAGGACTCTGTGCAGGTGTTAGGGTCCATACTAGTTTTCCAGACTGGAGATGAAAGTAAGGACTGCGTGACTGTTTTTCTAATAGTATACGGGGAAAGGTCAAAAAGAGAAACTGATCAATTTTTTCTATGCCCACCATCCTTGGGGTTACCTCAATGAAGGCCACCCTGATTTCTCTCCTTTCTAAACTAGATAATCCCAACCACTTTAATTTCTTGTCTTCTGTGCTTTACAGTTGGTTAATATCTGAAAGTGACTGTAAAATGGCACAGGGGAGGTTTCATGTTGACTTTGTCTCAGTAATTTCCATACTAGGGGATGGACTGATCTCTTCCTGTATTGGGATGGGGCCTAAGCTCTCTCTGACACATCATCCGCTTCTTCCCCTAAACCTTACAGAGTGTAGTGGGGTAACAGGTGGGCTCAGACTAGTGCTAGCTACCTTGGGGAGTGGGGAGAGGTGGAGTACAAAACTTCCTTCCCTCCAGCCTCACAGAAATTCTGAAGGAAAATGGAAGTTGTATTATCTTCTCTGCTTAAATTCATGTATGGTAGGGATTCTGCATTAAGAGTGTTCCTGGAGGTAGCCATGGCTCAGGGGCACCATGGTGGTCCAGCTCCATTGGGTTTCTAGAGGCCAGAGCTATACCAGAGTCACAGGGCCTCAATGTAGCTAGTTTCCCATGGGTCCCAGGAAATTATGCACAGTATTGCTTAAGCAGTTCTTGGCTGAATGCAACAGATTGTTCAAATGCTTAAATGTCATATGAGTATTGAGTTGTCAGATCTAGACATTGTTCTTACCAGTCCTATCTGTGTACTTTGACAAAAATCACAGAGTATGCCCAATCTCACAATTGTCTGGAGAGCACCTCCAACATGTTGTCTGCAAAGATGCACTGGATTCCTATTCCCAAATTATGCTTTGATGTGGGGGAAATCTCTGCTAGGAGATCCACACAGAGATTTCCTTTGCTTAAAGCCACTCTCACATATTTTACTGCAGGGAGTGGGATGTGAGTGTGAGATACACACACACACACACATTTGCTCAGCTTACAAGTAAACAGACGACTTAACTAAAAGGAAAATGAAGTTTCATTGCTGCCAAATAGGATGTGGAAATCAAACGGTGCTCCTTTTTTCTCACGTGCCATCATCAGGAATGGAGATTCTGCAATTGGAATGTAGTTAGTCTATTCTGACTTGTGCATATTCAGCAGAATGGCGATCACTCACTGTCCCAGCACTGTATTGGCTTTTTGACAGCAAAATGAATAGCAACTCTAAGGCACTGGGAACAGTAAAATAGTGTCTGTTTGGCACAATCATTTTTCTGACTATAACTACACTTTAAAGACTGACAATTTCCACCAAGAAAAAGAAACAGCATTGGCAGTGCTGATGCTTCTGATTTCCCTTTAAACTGCTATTGTTTTCACATACTGTATCTAAAGCACCTTTGGTTTGTGCTCACAGTGTGCAATATTCTAGTGCAATGCACATCTCAGGATGTCTGACTGCTTAATTTCAAGTCTTGCTTATTACGGACACCAATTTAGCTTTTATTGATTCATCTCATACTCTCTTCTAGGGTTTTTGTTTCTGTCTATCTGAGGACACAAAGTATAGAGGACAAAAAGTCACATAAGTCTAACAAAATGTAAAGAAATATATACCTTTTACACCACATAGTTTTACGACCTTTAAGACTGTTATCTATTGATTTGTTCAGAATGTTTGTAGGTCTAGTTGTTTCTTATTTTAAGATAATATATTGCAAATAGAAGAAGACTGTTGGACATGAAGAGTTAATGCTCTTGGCCACAATAAGTCTTAGGATGTGCTACATCATGAAAGCTGAACAGGAATGGGTGGCATAACAATAGTGATCATATTTCCCTGGTTTAGACATCACAACATCAGAGGAATTTG